ATAAGCTTTCGTGGACTACAGCCCACTTCTTCGGATGCATCCGAAGAAGTGGGCTGTAGTCCACGAAAGCTTATGCTCTAATAAATTTGTTAGTCTCTAAGGTGCCACAAGTACTCCTGTTCTTTTTGTGGATACAGACTAACACGGCTGCTACTCTGATACAGATGATGTGACTTCATGCACCAGATTGGTGGCAGGAGTAGAACTCCTTTCTTCTGAGTGCTGTCCAGTGTCCCATCACCCTTATTATGGGAATCATTACCACCCCATTTATACATGCTACCTATATACAAATTCCCCTCTCCAGAAGAGCACTGCAGCATATGATTAATTCTAAGTGTGTGGGTAGTCCCATTGAAGTAGATGGGACTGGTATAGTGCTTTGCTAGAGTGGGGCCCCAATTTTAATGCCTGTACCATCTATAGTAAAAGTAAATGCACTAGTCAAGTTATTGCTACTGGAGGACCTAACCATTTGATAACTTCAAAACATCTGAAATAAACATCTCAACCATAATCCTGTATTAATTTAGCTTTTTGCCTAAATCAGGCATGTACTAGAGATGAAGATTTATTTCAGAGGATGCTTACTGCATCATCTCTTGCAGTTACAGGCAACACAGATAATTGTCCCTTGATATGAGGAACTTTGCTCCCTGTGAATGTAGACACCCTCATTGCACCCAAAGACAGAGTAAATATTTGCATGTTTGTTTGTTTATTAAGTTGAAAAATCCAGGCATGTCTTGGCCCCCGTACTCCCACCCCCGTACTCCCGTCCCCTCCCACCTCCGCGCACGCATGCTTTTGGTAAAGAGTAAAATAAATAGCTGATTATATTCTCATGGGGGGAAAATACTCTAGTATGATAGTTGCCTGAACTATTTATTGTAAATAAATTATCCAGTGAATCTAGGTCATTTAGCAGTACACATTCTTCATGAACCTATCCTGCTTTCTATAAATATATTTGCCAAACGACTCAGAAGAACAATTTTTCAGTTTATGGGTTGTTTACGAATTGTTCCCTTTGACTATTTGCAGTTATATTTGTGCTGTATGATTAACAACCAGCATCATCTGATACTGTTTCTGTACCATGATTGGATAAGAGAAACCTTTTAAATTGGAGAATAATGAACAGTAAACATTCTTCTCTGAGCACAAATAGCAGCGTTCACGTGTAAATACAGGTATTCATACAAACTATTGCTCAAACATGCATGAGAACAAAATACCCCAAGAAACTTTCCAAAGGTATTCATGAATAGCAAATTAAAAGGTGAATACATTTTTACTGAGTATTGTTGAATCAAAAGGCTACTTTTCACTGAAATTAATGTATGCTAACACTGCACTGCAGTCATCATCCAATTCTAACTTGTAGCATTCAAATGTATTCCATACCGAGAAAAGTTTACAACCACGTGGAAAATATGTGCCTGCGTCATGCTGGTTGTCTAAAGATTAACTTTGAATGATCCAATTTGGATACTCAAATTCATGCTGCCCTTTAAAATAACTACGAACCAGCCAACCCCTAGACCCTAAAGCTAATCATGAAAAGAGATTTCCATAAGCAGGTAACAGCAGAGAGTGAAAAGAAGAATCAAACTATGACACAGAATAGGTATTTCTACTTTTATGGGACCTATTCTGAAAAGATGTTTATAGTAAAGGAGCTAGTTGTCATGCTTATATGGCGAACAGTGCTTTCGAACTTTTTAGTCCTTCTCAAGTGGACCTTTAAGTGACAGGCTGGGCTTGCCGCACCTCAAACTGGATGGAATTGCGTGGTTCATCCATTCTGGGACTGCGTATCTGGGTGTCAGCTCCCTATTTTCTGAACCGTGTTAACGCAACAGGCCCGACTGCATTTGGCTCCTGTAAACCCTTTCACTCCAGGGACATGCGATGGTTTAGGGTTCCCATTGAGCTCTCTTCTCAGCTTTGGCAAAACAGCTCTGTCGCCAGGATTGGGGTTGTGGAGTTACCTCATCATGCTGTAATTAAACCTGCCGGTTGAGTGTGAGTGTTGGCATGCTCCTTTTCTGGGCCATTTTGTTGCCTTTCTCTTTGGTTCCCCTAACAAGCCCTTTGGATCTAACTCCATAGCAAGTAACCCAGCATAAACAAACACAGAAGCATGCACTTTATTCACAAACTATAACACAGATGTTTCCCAGCTTGTCACACCTGGCAGCTGCAAAGCTGACAGAGAAAATGTAACTTACTTCGCAAGTGGCAATTTCAGAATATTGCAGTAGGACACCTATGGAAGATGCAAGTTGGCATCTATCCAGAGTTCCAAAGGATTTCTCCATGAATGTCATGCCCTTTAGACTGTGCTTTCTGAGTGTAAGGCCAGTGAATTTCTTTCTACTCCAAGCTCTGAGCTGCATAAAGTGTGTGTGTGTGTGTGTGTGTATCTGCGTGGTGGGGCGGGGGGAATCAAGTTCCCTGTATCATTTCATTCTGTTAACATGCTTTAAAACGTAATAGAATGTCACTTCAAAAATTATCTTTAACAAGCTAGTGGTGCAATGTTAATTGTTGGCATTACAAGGTCAATACAGTTCTATTAAGGATCTTATACCGTATCCTTTACCACGGTATCTAAATGATTTTTATCACTCATGATCTGCTTTTTGTGCCAGCTCTCTAGGTTGGGGGCTGCTTCCTTTGTCTTTTCAGGTGCAGAGAATGTGATGGGCAGAGAGAGGGGGTGTTTTGAGGTATTTGCCCCTGCTTTTTATAATTTGAGTCCCCCTCTTGAAAAATATTTCCAGCTGGGAGCAAGGTGACTGGCAGTCTGTGTGGAAGGTCATGCCATTCTGTTTCTTTGCTAAGATGTACCATATACATCTTAGGGGGCGGGGGGAGGGATAGCTCAGTGGTTTGAGCATTGGCCTGCTAAACCCAGGGTTGTGAGTTCAA